CGGCGTCCGGCTCTGGGAGAGCTGGGGGAGGAGCGCGGCGGCGACGGCGGCGGCTGTGGAAGACGAGAAGGGGGTGGTGGAGCTCCTTTCCTCTTAGACCCGGGAGCGTCCGGGACGCAGAGCCCGGAACTGGGGGGGATACGGCGACTGTGGGGGCCCGACGTAGGTGAGGCTGAGAGTGCTGTGCTGAGGGGTTGGTGAGGATAAAGGGGGCACAGAGATGCACAGAACGAGCTTGAAGGAGGAGGGCACTGGGGGGAAGGGGTAGCTGTTGGGGGTTGGGGTACGGAGAAGAAGGGGACGTGAGCCCCTTGAGACATGGGATGCCCAACTGGTGAAAGGTTTCCAGGGTCAGTGGGGCGGGCCGAAGCACACAGGTCCGAGTTGGAGTGTTTCCAGAGGCATAGGCCGGGAAAACAATGGAGTGTGGGGGGACTCTTGGTGTGACTGTGTCTGGGGTATTAGATTTTAAGAAACAACGAGAGATGGAAAAGAATGAAAGATGGATCGTTTGGGATGAGAAGTATAATGAATTGGGAATGCAGTAGGGATGCGTAAGGTCATCTGCGTGGGTGCCCGAGGTCCTTAAGATTTGGGGGTAAAGTGGGATTTGAAAATAAGGGCATTCTTGGAATAGGGGCGGGGGAGGGAACGGAAAATAAGGCAAAGCGGCAGAGAAATAGATGTTGGGGGGCTTGAGTTAAAGCAGAAGGGTAGATCCAGTTAGAGTATAGGTAGGGTAGTTGGACTAGAGTGGCATCTTTCTAATTCATCCAGTATGATTGGGTTCTTTTAGAAGGTGGATCTTTCTCAGGCTTGACCCTCTGCTAAGAAGTACAAGATGCTTTTTTAAATAATTTGGTTATCACTTATAGTCCCGTTTCATTGATAAAGCATGCCTGTAATATCTATTTCTCCTTTCTTCAGCAGGTTACTATACATAATTTACCTGTGGTTAATGAAGCAGGAGAAGACAGATCACCAAAAATAGGCATCTTGCTTTGACTCAGGTCAGTGATAATAAAGAGTTCAGGGTGTTTGGGGAAAATCAAGAGTTTGTTTTCATTTAGACCAAAAGGTGATGAATAGTCTAAATAAAATCGAAGTTATCTGTACTTTGTTAGAATTGCAGTTTCTCACTGAGAAATGTTCACATACCATCTGCTACTGGTTTTATACTTGTGGGAGAGAGTTTGGGAGCTGCCTTAAGAAATTCTTGATACTAATTTCAAATTACCAGGCTACTTATACCTTTCAGTTTGAATTAAAGTGATTTGAAAATATTGAGGGAAAGTATTTCTGGCATTATGATTTTTGCATATCCTTGATGCTTGGATTTCCAGACTAAATTTTGCACGGTATTACATAGAAGATTGCTGATTTTGAAATTGTAGTTACCGTTATGTGTTCATAAATAGTCCATGTTAAACTTTTTATTTGTTGGGCATTAAGTTTTGCTGACTCATTAAGATTTCTTGAAATTCATCAGTTTATATTTTTCATCTAGGTCTCAGACAGTAGCATTAGGCCACTTTATAAAGGTTTAAAAATAATCATCTGAATTGTCACTTAGGTGTTATAAAAACTGAACAAAGCAAGAAATGAGTGCAGAGTCCTCAGTGATAATGTGGCTCTTTCTTGACCTTTTCCAGTGGTCCAGGCAAGGTGCTGAGATTGTTTTGCATGCATTATTTCATTTAATTTGATCCTCACAATTCTTTCCTACTTTATAAATTAAGAGGTGAAATAAAATACCGAGGTCACAGAGTTAGTAAATAAAGCTGAATTCTCACCCAGCTCTTGGATGCCATTAAATCTTCATTGCCTGGTGGTCCTTCCTGCTTTTTCACTCCTCCAATCTTGGTTGTAGTACAAGCAGCACGAATTGGTTGAAACTTGAGTCTGCTATAACAATAGTGATTTAGATGAAGATTGGGGTAGTGGGCTACATCTGTAGAGTTTATTGAATGTTTACTGCTGTGATTATCAGATCTTCTGGGTTCCTGATAATAGGGCTAAAATATCTTGCTAAGGGTTTTTGTCCTGTGAGCACTTAATTTTCTCTTTAGTCTAGTGTACGTTGAAGTACTGTTGCGTATGTGGCACTCTTCCTTGTCAAGACAGCCAGTTGTGAAACCAAAACCAATCCACTCTGGAAAACAATAGAAAACTGCTGAGTGCTCAAGTGCCCTCCAAACACCTGTTGAGTCCACAGTTGGTACTGGCATTATATCTAAATATAGACAAGATTGTCTTAGAAACCGGAGTGAAACAGCCAGAACTGAGAGAAACAGCTGGGGCCCAAGGGAGGAGCCATGGCCAAAACATCAGCACAGTCCCTGGAGACTGATCCAGGAGTAGCAAAGGGCTACAGATACTAAATGGCAAGAGAGGAGGGAATTTTTATTTCTTCAATATTTATGTATTTTAGGCACTGAACTCTGTATGTTCTATATGTATTACCTTATAAGATCTTCAAGCAACCCTTAAAAGGTATTTGTAAGCATTATCCCCATTCTTCAGATGAGACTCAGAAAGATTAACTTGTACAAAGTCACTTAATAATGGCAGTGAAGGAAGTTTGTATATACTATTATTATTATTTTTTTTACTTTTAATTGCGGCTTGCAGTTTCCCACCGTAGAGCCACCATATTAAAATTTGGAACTTAAAAGTCACTTATTAGGATCCACTGTGTTTCTTTGTTAGAAGTAAAATTGGTGTTTTCAAAATCTTTCTACTTCCATTGGAGACTGGAAGGAAAAACTTGTTTGCTTTTTTTTTTCTTCCTGATTTAGTTGTTGGAAAGTAGAGCCCATTCATTATTTAGTGAATGACCTCTTATAGAATATAATTCAACTTCTTCAGTTGCTTGGTATGTATCTGTAGCAACATGAAAATGGCATGTCCATTTTCAGGTCTTGACTTCCAGGTAAGTAATCCAGGCTCTGGAGGATGACAGTGAAGCATGCCTGTTAAACACTCTTACCACTTCTCTTTGTATGTTTTTGCCACAAAAGTTTGACCATTGTTCTTGCTTGGTTAGTTTTAAAAAAATATGAGAAAATATACATAACATAAAAGTTAGCATTTAAACCATTTTTAAGTGTATAGTCCAATGGCATTAAGTACATTCACATTGCTGTGTAACCATCACCACCATCTACAGAACATTTTTATTTTTCTAAACCTAAATTCTGCACCAGTTAAACAATAACTCCCCATTCCTCTCTTCCCCCAGCCCCTGGCAACCACCATTCTACTTCTATCTTGATCTGTCTTTATGAAGGTGACTACTCTAGGTACCTCATATAAGTGGAATCATAGTATTTGTCCATTCATGTCTAGCTCATGTTTTCAGGGTTCATCAATGTTTTAGCCTGTGTCAGGATTTCATTCCTTTTTAGGACTGAATAATATTCCATTGTATGTGTGTCTACCACACTTTGTCGATCCATTCATCTGTCAGTGGACACTTGAATTGCTTTTACCTTTTCGCTATTGCAAATAATTCTACTGTGAACATTGGTGTGTAAATATCTGATTGAGTCCTTGCTTTCAGTTCTTTTGGATATATACCTAGAAGTGAGATTTCTGGATCCATGTTAAAATTTTTGAGGAAGCTTGGTTACTTGTAAATGGTGGTTTTATTATGTGTTCACCTGAAGGTAGCACTGGGCCTTATGTTTGAGGGATGATGTTTCTTCTGCTGACTTTTTCTGTACTGTTTGCAGGACTCTGGTACTGGAAATGATTCAAAAGGAATGATTTACCCAGTTTTCATGGCTCTCTCTTGGCTTCTGCCTACTTATATTTATGTATCATGACATCTGGAAAACACATTAAAATACATTTCAACTTAGCAATAAAAGTACTTTTGAAAATCTTTTAGACATTTCAGGTGATGAAGAAATGGGAATTTCTGTTCTAAAGTGTGAAATATATCCAGTGTGGAAAGAACCATTTGTTATATGCAGATCTTTCTAGTCACACCTATAAATGTGGGTAATCATCTTAAGAACATTATCTGTATGTGTATCTGAAGATTGTGTCAATAATGTAGAGCATTTTCAGTTTACTTTGCTGCCTTTGATTGAAATTCAGGGTACTTTTCTCATTTAACAGTGTTTTACATGTATGAGCTACTGGTTACTGCTTTTGGTATCACTTCTTCATTCGTTAAAAAAAGTTTGAGTGCCTGCTATATGCTTTAAATATTTCAAGAAGGTAGCTATAATACAGGAAGTAAAATTGGCTGAAGTCATTTGTTTGACTCCATTTTCTTTCCCTCCCTTCATATGTGAGAGAGTTGTCATATAGTACCAAATATTATAGGTTGAAATAGCTGTAGACTGACAGTGAACTATGTCTTAGGATGGGTCCGATCTCCCATTTCATTTTTTCTAAATGTCACAAGGAGGTTAATTATCCCTGCATCTTGCTTCTTGAGATTATTAAGTTATAAAGGGACTTCAGGCTCATGTGCCATTATTTGGGAGCCTCATAAGAGACCTGGCGAGCCCACAGTTACCTTGGAGATGGTCTGTTGGTTCTGAAATATTTCTAAAGATTTAAAGTTTGTAAACACCTTTTCTTAGGATACTGGGTATTAAGGATTGGCCAGAGGCCAGCATTTAATTTCCATGTTCAAATCTACCATGGTGGCCTGTAGCAGTGGGTTCCTGAAATATATATCATCTTCTACACAGATTCTGCAGCAGTGCCAGGCCCTTAAAACATTCTGCAGTGTAGGGTCTGAGGCTATAGCCATTAGCTTAAAGGCAACTTCTGCAGTCATTGTTCTATGACTAATTTGTAGTTAAGGGTTACCTGGGAATTCTCACTAGTTCAATCCCTAAATAATAACCTTAGATTGCTGGTAAGGAGGATTTTTACATTACTTAATTAGCAAAATGACATGATTACTAGTTGTGGAAGGTGTGTGTGTGTTTGTGTGTTTTCTTTTTTAGAATTGGTTAAGGGGTATTGGGACTGAGAAGAGGGAGGTATGTGATGAGGCCATTATGTGATTGTAGATGAGTCATGATCAATAAGTGAAGATGTCTTTTGTTCTTGAAGATGCTGCCATTGGTGTTACTTCCTATTGACCTGTATAGGACTGAAAAGACCCCTTTGTAAAACTTGCAGTCTTTCTTCTCTTAAGTTTATGTGGTCTGTCCAGTAGTAAATGATTTGCTATTGTTTTAAGGCTACTGCCAGTAGTAGAGCAATACTTTAAATATCCGCTTGGTCTCCGATTACATGCCAGTGTGGTCAGCTTACTACTGGCTCATCCTGGTTATCTTTTACTGTTACATTGATTCAAAATGTGCATTAGCGTGTGGTGGAAGTGACTCTTCTGCTAACTTTGGTTATCCTCTTACATCTTTATAGTAAATTGCCTTCATAGCTTACCTGCATATCCTGCACAAGCCCTCAATACAAGGGTCTCATCATAAGAAACTCCCTCACGTTCGATGAAAACAGTGAAACTTGTCTGCTTGTCTGTGACTAACATGGAATGACAAGAAGCTAAAGTAGGGTACCTGAGTGGTAGGTGGTACAGAACCACCTCAGATTAAATTAACCATTGAGTTTAGACACAAACTTGATGTTTTGTTATGGCTTGCTAGTCATTACCTACTAGGTTTCTTGAGATGGTGACCTAATTCCTTGTTAAGTGGACAATGCTTTAAACAAGGCTTAGTTGGGTAATCTTTGCTTCTGTCGCTATCCAAAGGCTATATTTAATGTTAGTCTTTTACAAGTTGATATTTGACATTTGTCCTTGGTCCATCTGCCCATAATGTTATGTTGATCCTATAAGTTAGACTACAAGGTATTATTATGTGATGTCATGTAATTTGGGAGCGCATGAAATAATGCAGCAACAATGATGACAAAATTTGTGTTTGGGCATCTAATTCGATGAAGTAGAAAAAGCTCCTGAAAAAGGCACTATTTAGTGCCTTCATTCTGATTGCTTGTTAACTGAAACCTTAACATTTAAGTAAGATTGAGTAGAATTCAATTTTTATATGATTACATTTTTGATTGGGCAGTAATGCTGAGAACACATCACCCTTTCACACTCTACACATTATGAAATAGCCCCAAGTATATCATTAAACTTCTTGTCAGCTTGAACTTTTTGATCTTGAAATGTGGATTTCAAGTATCAAATGGTGTTAGTTATTATCAGGCTAATACAGATAGCATACACATACACACACACACACACACACACACACACATATTTTTATGGTTATATTATTTTTTTAAGGGCAAGGCAGTCCTTGGTTGACCTCACGGATTGCAAGGACCTTGTCAGCTTACAATCCTTATTTTTTTATTTATTATTATTATTTTTTTTTATGCCTACAGCACCTGGTCTTCCTAGGTGGTCTCCTATCCAAGCTAAGCAAGGCCTGACCCTGCTTAGCTTCCGAGATTAGATGGGATCAGGTTTGTTCAGGGTAGCATGGATGTAGACTGATAGTATATTTACAATATTCCCATATTGTAATATCTTTCTTCTAATTTCTTATTAATGTAAAGAAGCTATATAACATGTTAGTTAAGAGCACAAATCTGTCAATCATATTACGTAGAAGTTGCTAATAAATTGGATTATAGATAGCTGGACATAAAGTTGTTGGGGAGAGGGGTTATGAAGGTACTGTATTTTATCAACATTAAAAAAAAAAGCTCAAATCTGGTGCACTGACCCGGCATTGTTTGTTAGTTTGTTTATTTTTTTAATTGAAGAAATGATTTAAAACCTCCCCCTCCCCCCCCGTCTACCTCCTCCATCCCCTCTACCCTCTGGTAACCACTAGTCCACTGTCCATGTCCAAGTGTCTCTGTTTGTCCTGTTCATTTGTTGCTTTTAGGTTTATATCCCACATATAAGTGATATCATGTGATTTTCACCTTTTTCTGTCTGGCTTATTTCTCTTAATATGATTATTTCAAGGTCCATCCATGTTGTTGCAAATGGCAGTATTTCATCTCTTCTTATGGCTGAGTAATATTCCATAGTATATATGTACCACAACTTCTTTATCCAATCATCTATCATAGGACACTTCAGCTGCTTCCATGTCCTGGGCACTGTGAATAGTTCTGCTATGAACATC